TCCTCCTGCAGTCAGCATCACTGCGTGTGTTTTGTGAGATGGAGGAGGACTTTGTGGATTGGTGTTGGACATACGGGCTAATGTTGGACTTGTGGGCCTGGGCAGCACTGGGTTGGGATGTTTTCTTGATGTGCACTTACCCTTTATATAAAACTCTCTCTTATACATAAGTTTATGTGGATTTGTTTCTCTGAAGTACCCAGACTAATACAGTGCCCAAGTCAAACTGTGAGATTGGACCCATGGTCCATAAAGAGTGAATTTTTGCTGCACATGCTTAAAAAGGCAAAGAGTAATGCTGAACATAAGGGTGTAGTATGCTCTGGTCACTAAGCATCTCCACGTGAGCAAAGCTCCCAAGAGCACTGCCGGACTTACAGAGCTCTCTGCACTTCCCCTGCCACCCTGAAATGAAAAGGAACAAACTGTTTCTGAACCAGAAGAGGAGGCTGCACAGAAGAAAAAGAAATCCTAGAAGAACTGAAGAGGCAGAAACGTATGGCACAAGAGTAAATTAAGTTTACTATGAAAGTTAATAAAAGCTAAAGCAGAAAAAAATTAAATAGATAAGTGCAACAGTTTGATAACTACTTAAAAAAATGAACCTAAAGTTTTAAAGGTGAACACAGTATGGTCAGTCATCTACAAAGAGATTCGAATTTGCCTTAAAGCACATCTTAGTGACATTTCTCCCTTCTTTAAAAACTTCCTTTTTCTATTGCTTAAAACAATGAGGAGAATACACAGCATTCACTGTGATGCCTTCATCCCGTCCATCGGCCTTCTCTCCCTATACTTCTTCACTAACTCCAATACCTAATGTTCTACTATGACATATTTTTAGACTTGCAAACTTTGTGTTCTTCCACTGTAGTGTTTAATGTTCCCTTTCTGTTACCTTTTCAAAATTATCATCATGTTCAGTGGCCCAGCTAAAATGCTACCTCCTGTGAGAAGTCATTTCTGATCACTCAAGCTTTCAATCAAGTTCCCCTTTTTTATGTTTACATTTGTTATTGCTTCATTTTCCCTTGTATTACCGTTTTCTTATTCCTTATGTACCTGGCTCCTTGTTAAATTATAAACTGCATGAGAGAAATAGGTCATATCTTATTCCTTCTATATCCCCACATTAGGTTTTGAATAAAGTTGGTGCAATTCTCCTTAGACCTTTGATCAGTGGTTCCCAAACAACCTTATGGATACATCTACTTTTTAGATATATATGAGAATTCTTCAAAAAAGTTTGGCTAAAAATGGAATTTAAAGATAATGGACTATAGTTAGTGTGTGTGTGTGTGTGTGTGTGTGTGTGTGTGTGTGTGTGTAGATACATATCAATACTCATTTCGACATTTCCCTTCTTTTTCCTATTTCATGGTCATGGACCAAAACTGCATGGCCCACCACGTTAATACGTTCTAAGTCATACTCATTGGATTACTTCCACATTGCATTGGGCACAGTATTCCAAACCGACTGTCATTCAGTCAATTCTGACAGCAACCCTGTTTATAGAGTTTCCAGGGCTCGCTATGGGAGCAGATAGCCTCACTCTTCTCCCCTGGATCCACTGATGGGTTTGAACCATTTACCTTGTGGTTGGCATCAAATGCTTACCCAACAATGCCACCAGGGGACAGGTACTTAACACCTTAATTATATTATCTCAATTCTTACAACAACTTTGACTTCATTTAATTAAACTTAAAAAAATGAATAAATATGCACATAGCAGCAATAGAAAAGATGCATTGTTCAAATATTTTATATTAAGTATAGCCCAATACATTTTTATCAACTTCTTAGAGTCTATAAATATGTTTAAAAATGATAAAAAAATAAAATCTTAACAATAAAATAAGATAGATTTAGAAATGGAAAGCATCACGCCTTAAGTTAGAACATCTAATCATTTTAACTGTATGGCCCTGCCAGTACTGATTTTCTAAACATTTATCACTTTGTGGTTTTTGTTATTG